GAAAACCTCCGTCTCTAAATTTCTCGGTAACGGTAGACAGCGTTCTCAGTTCCCGAAAACTCCAGAGATCCCGTGTCCTCTTTACAGAAACTCGATCACCGCGCAAGTGATAATCAGGAGCATTCGCGGATCCACGCAGGCCGCTAGGCCCCTCTCCTATCGGGCCGCTCTTTATTCTAATTGGCTTGTTGCTGTCACGCAACCCCGCGAATAATCACAGCGAGTCCTGCGGGTCGCGTATCCTTTGAATCTCTGGCGCGCTTTTCCAAATTAGCTGGCCGAAGCTTTCCGTCTTGATCAGTGGTCTTCTATTGCTCTCCTCAGAAGTGGAGGCGGCTGCCACTGTTCGGGTCGTGCTGAGACGGTCCCTTAGTACGTCTCTCTCCGAGGCGTCTGCAATAAAGGTGCGACAATCACCAAAGAATATTAAAATTAGCAGAGGTTACAAAACAATACGACCTGCGTGTACCGAGCTCCTTGAGGACACAATCGGGATCTTCTTCGGTAGTTTCTTGCTTCCTCCACGACGTCTTCTTTCTTCCTTCCGTGAGTGAGGCGGCAACATTACACGAATCTAAGATAACCACCGCTCACGCTCTAATGTGACTAATAATCGTTCTTTAAAAATCTGAAATTATTAAATATTTTATATAAAAGAAGATACAAAACGAAACAAAAATAGAAATTTGGCACGCTCGCTTGTGCCCTCGCCCTTCGAGTTTAGAGGACACAGGATCTCCGCGTAAATGCAATCACAAGTGACTGACACAAAGTGTCACGTACCTACTTGGAAATTACATAGAATTGTAAAGTTTATGCAAAATATGCATTTTATGCAAATAATATGTTCGATTTATGCAAATATGCAATTTATTCAATTAATATACTTGATTCATATAAATATGCATTTATGCAAAATATGCATTTTATGCAAAATATTCAGTTATATGTTTTTGCATAAATATCTGCAGTCCAGTCATTTCTCACTGGGACATATGTGTACACACACACACACGCGCGCGCGTATACATTCACGTACACAAATAAAGCATTAATGCATGTATATTTTTATATTAAAAATTGTAATTTATACTTTTTATTTAGCTTTGTGGTCTAGTAAACACCAGTTTATATTTTTTCAACGCGATGACCCTCGCTGTTGTCATAATATGGATGCCAACAAAGGCTGGGCGACAAATCGGGAATGAAGCTTGACGGGAATAAAGATTGAATTTCAGTAAGCTGAGGCATGTTTAGTAAGAAAATAAAATATCCTGTACTTTTCGGTAGTTTTTTATTAGTATTCACTCTGCATAATAAAATTGATGTTCAATACGGATCCTTCCCCATAATGACATTTCGGTATTTGACTCTATCACGATATTCGTTAAAACCACCTGAATAACTTCAAAATGGCATTACTCGATCAAAAAAAATCGTAGAGACTCGAATTTTTTTTCAAATTGTTTATTGAAAAGTACACTTTACGATGGTCTATGTGGTATTTTTAAAAAAAAATCGGAGCGATCCAGGTAGCGCATCAAATAATCAAATTTTTTAAGAAAAAAAATGCTTGGGCTTTATTAAAATATGGAGATGCGACATCGACTTGCACAAATTTCGTATCAAGTTTTTCAGTACAGATAATTACCTAGAAAATAAAAAAAAAATCGTCTTGATAAAAATGGCAAAATTTCGATGAAAAATTTTGTTGCGTGTGTATTAAACCTCAACATTTTTTACGAAATTTGAGGAGTTCCACGGCACAAACTAAAAATTGTGCATAAATGTGGTTTACGCACGCAGAAAAATATCATTCTATTGCCAAGAAAAGTAATTACTCAATTTATTTTTATTCTTTCAAGTAACGGTTATTTTCAATAAAGAATATTTTCTTGCTAGTAATCATAAAATGTACTTGTTACAAGTTTTAGAAGTATTCATTACCATATATTCAAAATAAGAATTTATTTTCTTTTGAAGTATATTATAAAATTTATCCAAGAAAAGTATATGATTCTCTTCCATCGACTCTATATAATAAATAAATCGAGTTTTTGGTTTAATTTAATATTCTTGATTGAAGTATTAAATTTTTTAGGATTCAGAATATGTTTTGAATAAATTAAATGCTTGTGATGAATTTATGATAGATTTGCGTATATATGAACTTTTGAAATACTTGAAAGAAGTCATTATTACTTGCGTACAGTATCTTTTTCTGCGTGCGGCTTTCGAAAAAATGAATTTACTTTCGAAAGAATGAATTTTTACCTTTAATTTGTTTTTTATCGACCTATATACGATTTTTTTTCACCAGTTATTCAACGTTGAACAAAAAGAGTCATTTTTGCTTCAACGTTTAATAACTCGATGAAAAAAATCGTACGAAGCTTCGTAAAAAAACAAATTAAAGGTAAAGATTCGCTCTTTCGAATGATGTAAGTCGAATTTGTGTACACAATTTTTAATCCGCCTCGTGGAATTCTGCAAATTTTGTAAAAAATTTTAAGATTTAATGTATTTATCTTTATTTATATTTGTGTAACTTCATAAAATCTCCATGAACCATTTTCTAAAGTAGCGATTCGAAAAGTAAACATTTTAAGCTATAAAATGTTTTTTTTTTAACATTTCGATACGATAATTTTTGACAAAATTATTTTATCTTAAAATTTGTCTATTTTTACAGAGTGAAACAAGTGTTGCGTTAAGTTGGCCAGTGTGTTAATTGAGGGGGTCCGATAAATTCACCGTTTACATAGTTCCGGAAGATTGAATTAAATAATCGCGATAATGAAGAGTGAAAATAAATAGAGTATTATTATACAAGTCGTAGTGCTTTACAAAAAACTTATCTCTCTTAAAAACTTTATTCATTAAAATCGATGTGCAAAAATATATGTTGTACAATAAATCTTGACTGTTGAATTAAATTTAATACTTGGTCTTTATTTATTTTAATTACTACTATTCTATAATATAATAAATTGTATTACTTTACAACTCTTTAAAACTTTTAAAGTAAACCTCACTTTGAAGAGTAAAGTGTCATTTTTAAGGAGATTCTAAAGTCGTCTGTATTACTGACTAAACCATATAATTTTTGTATCCTAAATATTTTTTTTGTCATTCACAGATTCGAAAATTTTTTTCCAAGATTAAAGTATACGCATTAATATGTACCTGTGGGATAAAATCTATGCTGAAAATGATAAAAAAGTTTCGAAATTGAGTTCTACTTTACCATTTCTTAATTTAATAGTGTTTAAGGAGATCCTAAAACCTCCTGTATTACCGACTAACAATAAATCGTATAATTTTTGTATCGTAAATACTTTTTTTGTCATTTACAGATTCGAAAATCCTCTTACAGAATTATGTAGTATACGCATTAATACGTGCCTGTGAGGTAGAATCTATGCTGAAAACGATAAAAGATTTCAAAATTGAGTTCTTCTTTACCATTTTTTAGTCCAATATGGCGCTTCAGAGCTGTCACGACGTTACACGTCGTAACAACATTTGTTTTATATAAAAGCTGCGCAATCTGTACTTAAGAAATAGTAGTCCACAGGCATGTAGTTTGCATGAAGAAACAGCGTGGAGTTCTTAAAATTGGATGGCTTAATTTTTACTTTCTTTAAACTGAGATTTCGCTTCAAGGAATTGAAAGAAAAGTTGAACTTGCATAAACCTTATTTATTTGAATCAATGTTCAAAAGCGTACAATAAATAAATCTTGACAGTTGAATACTATCTATATTTGATATTGTACTTAGCATTTATTCATTTCAATTAATTTTTTTAAAGCATGTTAACTGTCAAATACTTTTTTAATAAACCAATAAAAACCGATGAAAACATGTCGTAACGGTCAAGTTAGATCTTGGATGCTTCTATCTATATAATTGTGTGTGAATTTATATATTACGTATATAGATTTTTAATTATCTCGATAGTCTAAAGCTTAGGACGCTCGCACGGAACACAAGAGATTCGAATTCGACTCCCGGCCGAGGTAATATTTTTCAATTAATGAAAATTAATTATTTACAGATTTTAATATGTCATTCAACATTATTAAGATCGATCTAAGATGCACAAAGGGTATCAAAAATTTTTAAATTGTTAGTCAATTTAATTTGTGATATTACTACGGTAGTTTAGAGATTGCGTTTCAAGTCTGAAAAAATTCGGCGCGTAATTTCAAATCTACATAAGTAGTATATAAATTCACACGCAATTATCCAGAAGCATCCAAAATCCAGTTTGACTGTTATGACATGTTCTCATCGGTTTTCATTAGTTTAAATTCCCATGGTCTTATAAGATTTAATATTGTTTTTTTAACCAATATGTAATTATATATGAAATTTAAAAAAATTGTGAGCATCAGTCTTTGTTTATAATGTAAATTCCATTTTATAAAAATTAAATACATTATACTTTCATATTTTTATTATCTTTCATTCAAGTTTTTTTTTGCGTTTCTGTCAGTTGCGCAGAGCGAGTGAGCAAAGCTTTCAGAATTCTGGCATGAGTAACACGTGCCAGAAATAGATAGTAATTTCCCTTGTGTTGAATGCTATGTGGGGGGTGCAACGACATTCAGACTTTGTGGATGCACAGACCTACACCCTCAGTCAGTTTAAAAGTATCGCTGATCGTGGTCATGCTGTGTGTTCTTCTAAAAATCATTAGAGAACAAAAGTTAAACATTAAAAACTATCAAATTGTAAATTAAATTGTAAAAAAATTTAAATCTTTCGGTATGTATAATGTTATATTTTTGCTTCTTTTACTTATATTAAAGATATTTTAATTGCTACAATAAAAAAATTATTTTGAAACTAATATGTATTTTCGTGTGTAAATGAACCATTGTGTCCGGGCTAATTAAATTTAATTAGACCGGATGAAGAAAAAAAAAAGAAATAATAGAAGAGGATACTTAAATATTAAGTGGGAAGATATAATAAAAAGCGTCAGATCACAAACGAAATAGTTTAACGAACGTCACAATTCAATACAAGAACACGTATTAAATTAATCGTCTACAACGAAATTATAAGCACGAACAATATGGGACCTATAATCAGGATGTCATCTTCTGGTACGCACGGCACGGGCGGTGTTGGTTGCTGCTGTTTTAGATGTTGCACGTGTATACACGTGGAGTTCTTTAAATCATTGCCAGGAATCATAAAAATTTGTGAAACGGTATGTTGTAATTACACATACATTATTTGGTATACTCAAAGTTAGTTAGGTAGAGTTATAAATGATATATAACATAAAATACAACATCCTTGTATATTTTTACTATAAACTTATTTTACGTTCCTTTTTTTACTTTATTCTCTTATTTATTATTTATCTTGTTTTAAATAAAAAAATTTTTAAGGATTTAAAGCAACGCGAGTAGACTTAATCCCTTCAGAGTCTATGTATTGTAATGTACATCTAATTTGGACATTATCCGTTAAAATTATTTAATTTTATTGCCTAATTATTATCTGAAATTTATCTTTATATAATGCTCTTATTCTTTATATTAAACTTTTTGAAGTACGTGATTCTGTTGATATCTATTGAATGTTCCGTATATATTTGATTTTTAAATATAATTTAAATTATAATTTTATAACGTATATATTATATAATTAATATAATTCTAGGTAATCAGCGGATTAATTCAAAGTTTACTTATAAATTATGGCTTGAGATACAGTTCATCTATTGGATCGGCTTTTGAAGGGTCATTGACCACGGCATCCGCCTGTTTCCTGATTTCCGCTCTGTTACTCGCTTGCTATACAATTTCTGAAAAATCTTACAAACTAATTCGTGCTTCACTTTTTGTATGTATTTCTATCTATTTCCCAAATAATAATTAAATATTATATACAATAATTAAATATTATATACAAAGAAATATCACAAATAATTCCATTATCTAAATTCTAAATTGCTTAAAATAATTTACTTAACTTGTTAGTGTGTCAATGTTTATACTTTTTGTTACATAATTTAAACAATGTTTTTATTGCTATCAATTCTATAATTTAGAAATTATGTTACATTTTTCTTTTTTATCAATATTAGGAAACGATGTTCAATTGTTTAGCCTGCTTCTTATATTTATGCTCGGCACTTTACTTAGCTTTTGCTACTAAATTATTTCTGATGATCCCGTATTATATGAGTCCCGGCTTCGACGTTTATCCTGCCATGACAGCCACTTATGTAAGTTTATTAGTGCAATCGTAAATGGAGAACTTAACGCTTTCACTAATCTGCGTCATTGTTTTTTCATCTAGCCAGAGATAAAAATTGAAAAAAAAATTTATATATTATAATAATTATTGCTGATATAATCTTTAATGTCAGACATGACATATCTGTATGTTGAACAGCAGAAAACAAAAGTTTATTAGTAGAAAATAACTAATATTAAATTTGATATAGATATTTTTAATTGAAAGTTTTTATTTGAAAAAGCTAAAAGTGATTGGTTTGTATTGTAGATAGGGCTTCAAGATTGATTCGAATTTAACGCTATCTAGATATCCGTTTATCTCGATTATAAATAAATGTAATTCAAATTTAGGTCATCCAAAGATTCGGTTTTTTAAGATATCCGAAACTTGAATTCGGTTTTCCAGATTCGTAGCAAACTTGTAGCGAATTCGACTTTACTTACCTTACTTTTATTTTATTGATATCTGATTATAATATTGAATAAGTTTATTGAATAAGGTTGTACTACAGTGGTCTATGCAATTTTAAATATTTAATTTTCTGTTTAAAGAACCTTCAAAATAATCTAATTTACAACTTTCTTTTTTACATTTAATTTACAGTTAATTTTTACAGTTAATTTATAATATAAATTATTAGTTTTTATATATAACGTAAATTAATTATATACATATATATTTTTTTTAACTAAATACATAAATTAAAATTTAATTTTCATTTTTTAAAACAAGACTAATGTTAAAAGTCATAAAATACATCGACTTTTTTTTCTGGATATAGATTTAAATTCGGATTCAGATTCTGCAGATTTGAATCTAATTTTAGATCCGGATCCGAATTCAGATCCACGAATCCGAATAATTTATATATCCGGATTATCCAAATAATACGGTTTTGAGTTCTCGGATTGGAACGAATTTCGGATATCTGAATATCTAGATATCTGAATACTTAGAAGTTTTAATTGCAGATCCTAAGTGGCGTCGTGGGATTATTACATGGAGCAGATGCTTATTGGTCCTATGTGCATTACAAAACCGGAAGATAAATTATGATAATTGCAGGATTGTAATTTTGCAATGAGACATGACATTATATATATAATTGTCTAAACGTTATAGTAACGTTAATTCTGTAACACGAATCTCCGAAAAAGAATTGGATGAATTAGGCATTGATTTTATGTATCTATTAGAATATATTAATATCTATTATAAAAATTAATTATTATATAAGCTATATAATGAAGTAATTACTAATTAATAGTATTATTTGATTTAATTATAAGTAGTATTATTACACTGCCATTGGTAATATCAATAAATTATGTATATATTTAGTTATAGTAAATTAATAATTTGAAATTGCGTATTACTCTACTATTTCTAAAAAAAAAAGGAAGAATAAAATGAAAGAAAAAATTTAATTTTTCTGAATAGATATTTTAGTTGTTTAAATATATATGATAAACCGGAATCAAATTGATTTTATGGATTACATGAAATTGTAGTATTTATTTGCGGTATTGCTTATCTATTTGAGGCGTATTATACGTATTTACTAAATCAATATTTCGTTGACATTTGGTACGTCATATAGTGATGTCGCATTTATGTGCATGACAAAATGGATAGTATTTAACAAATAATCGATGATTCATTTTAAGACTTATTTCGTTTCGCATTACGTTAATGTATACGTGATATGAAATAAACATCGATAAGAAATATGATGAGAGTATTCAATTGGTCACATTGACGTACTATTTCCAAATATTAACAAGCTACATTTTTGGAAGAATCTAAAATTAATAACAGTTAAAATACACCAGACAAATAATATTATATTATGTGGTGTGTGTGTGTGTGTGTGTGTGTGTGTGCGTGTGTGTGTGTGCGTGTGTGTGTGTGTGTGTGTGTGAGTAGCATTTAATAAATCATATAAATGAGATTTTTATAAAAACTGTCACTTGTGTATATATAAAAATAATATTAATTCCAACAGAAAGTGAATGTTTCTAATTTACAATGCAATAGTACAATATAGTATATAACCAAATATAATTTATTTTATATTTATTTATCATTAATAATTTACACAATTGCAAGTAATAGATAAAACTTGAAAAGTTTAATATAATTATTTTATCAAAGTATTAATTAATTTAGAAGACGATTTTAATTAATGGATTTAGTTGCTTTTATAATACATAAAACCGTTTGCATCTTATCAGTTGTGTCTCATGTTCTTTTTTACTGCAGACTGTACGAAGAGTTTCAATTCGTACCAGGGTATACCTGGACCCGGGATGGTGAATGAGAATGACACGGATCTTGTGGTTCTCGTGACGTATTGAGTTCTCTCTCTCCTTCCTTTTTCTCCCCTCCCCTCCTCTTTCTCTTTCTCTCTCTCTCTGCTCCTTTCAAATCTTATACACGCACATGTATATTTCACTTCCTCAAGTGTCCTCCCCCTTCTTTACACTCGCTATGTTCTTTCCCTTGCTCCGGCCGTGTCGTTCGGCCTTCCCTCTTCTGTCGCTCTCATTGGCGCCTCGTCGAGTATTTCACTCAATAGCAGACGTATAGCTGACAGTTTACCTCAAAATCTCGGTCCGGTTGGCACGTCAGAGAGTTCAGAAGAACTCGAAACTGTATTTACTCGATTCCTGCTGCTCTTTCTTCTCCGTTAACCTGAATAACGTCCGATAAGAGAAGTGGAAGAAATTAAAAACTATTTTTTTTTTATTCTCAAAAAAGAAGTGATAAAGATGGAAGCACACATTAGAAATGTAAATAACAGCAGAAACATTGCATCGACAGAAGGTAGTAAAAATAGTTAAATATTTAATAAATAAGTAATTAATTATAAATACTTAAAATATTAAACAAAAATCCCAAATTCTATAAATTTTTATACAACATTTATCATTATTGCAAAAAATGAGGGCAATAATGTTAAATAATATATTTGAAATTTCAAAGAAAACGTTTATTAAAGATAGATCTATGTAAATTTTCAAGAGACTTAGAGAAAACTTTCTATCATACCGAAAAGTTTAAGAAACTGTTGCCAAGATAAAGGCGTAAAGATTCTTTCAATACCTATAATAAATAGTTGTAATAATGTTCAATATGTTTATTGTATGCGCCTCTAAGTATACATCTTTATGATATGTTCAATTATTGTACCGTTATAAAAACAATAAAGAGAACAAATTCTTATTTTGTTTTGAAAATATTAGCATTCTCGTTAACATGATATAGCTTCATTATTGCGAACTTATAACAAAGTGCATATAATGCACATGTTTATCACGAGATGTTACTACATTTATCAAATATCAATCATGACCGCGTATATATACATATATATATATATATAATTAATAAAACACTAGCAATTTTGTAAATACAGTACAAAAAGGCCGAGGTATGTACACGCGAGTGAGGAGCGCGCGCCGGCCCTGAGCGCTATGTAGACAAGAACGCTTATTCGTTAAATTTAACATGCTCTACTGCAAAAACTATTTGTCGGACGCAATTTTGTTAAAGGAAAAAGTTGTTTGTTTTAGCGTAAAGTATTACGTCTTGTACTCCGAGTGCGGGAATTTTGAATATACCATATAAATATATTAGGTGTACAGATTGGGTTTTTTTTTCAGGTTCGTTTTTTGTGTTCAAAAATGCATTTATTTCAAAACAAAATTAATGAACAGATTAATTAAAGTATTGTCCATCGCTGGCTACTACTTTTTCCCATCTCTCAGGCAATTTTTGAATTCCATCTCGAAAACATGACTCGTCTTTAGAGGCGATCATCTTTTGGAAAACGGACCGAACTAATTTGTACTCCCAATATAATTACAAAATTGCTTGTGTTTTATTAATTTTTCAATCAATCTTAGTATCGATTCTTTATCCTTTATTATTTAATCGATCTTTTTAAATTGTCACAATAATTTCTAATATTTTATCCGATTTGCGATGGTACGCGTTATAATACTATTATGAAATCTTTTTTTTTTAAATCTTTTTCACTGTTTTGTAAATTCGATTCATTTAATTCTTAAACTCAAAAACATGAAGAAAATATGTTAGGTATTGATGCACATTTGTCAAGAATGATGTAAAAAATATGGAACTTTTACCGTGGTATAACAACAAAACCTAACGATGCAAAATGTGAAGATTAAAGGAAAGAAAAACAAATTTAAGAATTTAGAGAGTAATCCATACCCAAAATAAAGCAAGATAATCATTCAGCATTCGTAAGATCTCTAATTCTCACCGAGACCTTGCGAGAGACTATAGTAACTTGAATATAACGAATTGCATTGTCAATGAGTTGGATCATAAATACATGTGAGCATTCCAATCCATGAGCTCATTCTTCAGTTGTATGTACACCATGGAATTGCATCACATAAATCTTATACCGATGTTACGATTTGAGTTGAAACAGCTGACAAGTAATGTTCGTGAAAGTAACTCGAACAAAAAACGATAACTCGATGAAATAAGTTTCATGAAGACACATGAAATGTGTCTAAACAAAAAATTCCACTTAGGAAAAACGCCGCCGTTATACGGAGAAGCATAAGCCTACTTTGCAAGTGTTCAACAATTTCGAAAATTGTTATTGTTCTTTTTTATTTTTTAGTAGTTATGAATCCTTTGTGCGTTAATACGTATTTAATTTTTGTTTATCGAAAAAATTATTTATATACATAACTTTCTTAACTTTTTTTGCAAAAAATGTACTTAAATTATTTTTTAGCTCCTTGGAGGTATATATATAGCTTTTTTAAACACTATACAATCGAATTATTGCTGTGTAAAAGCAAAATAAATTTAGGTCAAATACACTGTCATCATAAACGATATCAAGCGAAATATAATGTCACAATAAAAATGCAATCGTGCAAAATATTTTAAATATCATAATTTTATTATAATTTATATAATTAGTTAAATGAATTAAATTTTTTAAATATACTATAATATTTTCGATATCATAATTTTTATTTAAGTGCATCTTTATTAGTTTTTATGAGCGTTCAACCTATTTTTTAAAAAGATATATATAAATGTGTGTTTATATCTTTAAAATCTAAGTCTATTTTAAAGCATTTTAAAAAAAAGATGTAAAAACAACTTTAAATACCTTAAAATAGATTTAGCCTTCTATGAAGAATCTTACCTTTCACTCATAATTAATTTTTTTAACGTACATTCAGCTTTAAAGACAAATAAGTAATTAAGTATAAAAAAAACGAGATTTACGGAAATTAATAACGGTTTTAGCATACGTAATGTGTATTGTTCACAGTGCTGTTTATAGTTCGATGAAGAAAATCTTTTATTTATATTCGCTCTTTCTTGCATGTTGCAAACTATATACAAACAAATTATAATTGTTTATCACACAGACAGATCTGGTATGTGCTTGTTGTATATACAATAATATATATACGAAATTCCTGCGAATGTGCGCGTGCATTTATTATCGGACAATCAGCAAAGTAATTAAAATATTGATTAATCAACACAAGGGTGACAATAATAAATTTATCTTTTATTGTATAATAAGAAATTATAAGCATTCAAAATTTTATATTTTTCAACTTTAAATTACACATTTTAATGTAACAAAAATTTCATAATTTATGTAAAGCCTAACGGGAAGAATAATCGAAATAAAATGTTAACTTTAATTTAATCTGACCTACCGTAAGTCTAATATATTTTTTCAATTATAATTTACGTATTTTAGTTCCTGTTTTAATGTGACGTTAATGATCATTTAGAATTATAATACGGACGATTTTCTTGTTTCGACTGTCAGAGACAATATCCATGAGTTTACTTTCGACTTGATTGACAATAAATTGACCAATTGATCATGGCTTTCTGTATTATTATTGTAATTAATTTGTTAATGTTCATGTAATTATTTATAATTGAAAAGAACTTCGTATAAGTCGAAACGTTTCATTTTTAATTTTAATTTTGATTTTTAATTATAGAATTTAATAAATATTGTCAACTTTATTTCGGCTTATTTTATACCGTTAATTTAATATCGTAATTTGTTGTTTTAATTTTAATTTTTTTTCTAATTACAGCTTTGACTGTATTTATTTGTACACTATATCAAATATGAGATTCATAATCGTTTTACTTTAATAGTATTTTAAATATGTAATTTATTTGCACACACTGAGAAAAATGTCTGATCAATTACTGGAATTTTGGTTGATTTTCAACCAGACATTTTTTGATATATAATAATAATAAATAATATAATAACATGAACAATTAAGATAACGTGTGAAAATTATTGGATATTAGAGCAATATTGATTCCAACGAATAAATTCAAACATGCAGCATAGCGGAAACGCCTCTTGTCTCAGGTTGCTCGTCTCTGATTATCTATGGTACATCGGCACGTTGAGAGCACCTTTTTCTAGGAAGTAGAATAATTCTGTTAATAATCCATGAAAAACTGTTACGCGATAGTGAACAAAAAAATTGAAAATTGCAGGCAAGCGTGTTAAATCCGTGTAGTTAATTTATACAAAAATTCTTGACGGAATATTACAAAAAATATTACTTTTATGTGAATATAATAGGATATAATATTAAGAAAAATTGTTTAATAGCAAATCACTCATTAGTATATATTATATTATTGTTTATTTCCGATATAAATGTTAAGTAAACTTAATATTAAAATTCCAAATAATTAAATAAATTTACTAGTATTATGTTTTATTTAAAATGACAATTGTTATATTTTCAACAAATAAAAATGTAATTACAAAGACAACGCTTGTTATGTTTTAAAAACAACTAAAATAATGATATTAAAATTACGGTATTAAAACAAGCCAACAAATTAAATGATGACAATTTTTATTAAAATATTCTATAATTAAAAATGAGAAACGTTTCAACTTATACATAAGTCTTCTTCAGTCTCCTTTATAAACGATACATGACAAAATAAAACGTAACAATAAACGAAGTACGGTTAATCTTTCAAACTATAGTCCATCGAGTCAGCAAGTGAAATATGAGTATTGTTTCTCAATCCGAACAAAGAAAATTATCCGCATCGTAATTCTAAATCCACATTATTATATATTAGGAAACAACTTGAAAATTATAGATTAAAATGAAATTATTAAACTTACGGCAAATTAGATGCTATGTATAATTTTCATCCTTCAAGTGAAACAATGTAAAGTGGAAAATGGTCTGTATTGAACGACAGTTGTCACATGAATAAAAGAAAACAAACTTTTATGTTTGACATATCGTATAATGTATATATATTATTCTGAGGGTAATGACCTAAGCAAATGATCATAAGTTTTGTCTAATTTTTCAGTATCTTTTTGTGCGTTAATTCCATTTTTCTGTTCTTTGATGAATAACATCTCAGAAATCAATCTTTTATTATAATGAGATTCAATGTCCATAATACGTATATTATTCCAATCAAACGTATGTCCAAATCGATTGCAATGTTCCGATAAAACTGAAAGTCTTGCTGGATTTCTTTCAATATTATATTTATGTTCTTTTATTCTCGTGATCAATTTCCTTTTCATTTGTCCTACATATGACGCATCGCAATGATTACAATCCACTTTGTAAACTACATTATTCCTTTGTATCTTTTCTGTGCTGTCTTTATGAACTTTAATAATTTTATTAAGTTTATTGATGCTTCTAATTCCTATGGTAAATACATCTTTGTTTAAGCTACCAGTAATAGAATTTGTAACTTTCTGAATATAAGGTAAATTTGAACATGGCCGGAGACGCTACCGCGTCTCCTGATACAAAAAGTTTCTTATTGAGAGGTTCACAATGTGTAATTTGGTTTTTATTTTGTGATGTATGTAATTTATAATTTAATAAATGATCAATTCTTTTTTGTATTTTACTGAATATAAGATGTAAGGGATAATTGTTATTTAATAATGTAGTGATACAAAACTCAATGTTCTTAATATGAAATTCTGGATTAGACAGCAATAATGCTCTATCAACCATGCCATAAATAACACCTATTTTATGTGCTAAAGGATGATTTGAGAAAAATGATAGATATCTTCCAGAGAAAATATCTTTATGATACTTTCTCTGGAACCTATTTTTAAAATGTTGTTGTCAATGTTAATGTTTAAATCTAAATAATTTAAAGATCTGTTTTTTTTTTCAATTTCGAATATAAATTGCAATCTATTATGTATGCTATTAAATATTTCTAAAACTGTGTAAATTGAATCTTTGTGTACCGTCATGATAATATCATCCACGTATCGAAAATAAAACAAATCGTTTAGTTGCAAAATATTTAATGCTTTTTCCTCTAAGGGCCAATTTCACCAACATCGGTTAAGCTAACCGACGATTAAAGTGTCAACCGTGATTGGTTCATTCTGGTCAAAGACAAATGCGATTGGATAATTCCATTGGAATTAACCGTCGGTTAGCTTAACCGACGTTGGTGAAATTGGCCCTAAGTCTTGCATGACAATATATGCTATGATGGGAGATAATGGTTTCTCATTTTTAATTATAGAATATTTTAATAAAAATTGTCATTATTTAATTTGTTGGCTTGTTTTAATACCGTAATTTTAATATCATTATTTTAGTTGTTATATTTTCCATTTTTAATGATTTGCTTAGTAATTGTTTAAAGTCTTTTTCAATATTTTACATATCAAAGCATAAGTAAAATATACGTATATAATAAATTTAATTAATTAAGAATTGTATGAAATAAAAAAGTATATATGTACATACATATAATTATTTAATATATTAAAGTTAACTGATATGTAAATATAATATATAAAAATATAACATATAATAGAATCAGAGTTTTTTTGAACATGGCCGGAGACGCTACCGCGTCTCCTGATTAGCGACTCTGTTTAAACATCTTTAAGGTTTAAACTTTTAAATCATCAATGCCACAATAGTAGAACACGTTTTTATGTCATTTTTTTAATGTCATTTTTTATGCCATTGCACGCTCGCATAATAAATACCACTCTTATCGGATATCACGTTATTATATGATCCTTGACGTTCCATCACACTGGGTACGTTTTTTCGTCTCTAGATACGTTCAGTCCTCTTTCAATGAATATGATAAAAATGCGTACTGGTCAAAGAATGTCTATAGAACAGCCTTAGCTATCGCGCTAACTTTCACATGTATCAATACCTACTGTTAATCAATAATATAAATACGAATTGCTCATTTTTAATGTTCTCTGCTTCTCTCTCTCTCTCTCTCTCTCTCTCTCTCTCTCTCTCTCTCTCTCTCTCTCTCTCTCTC